AATCAACGTTTTGTATAAAATATCTAATATTTAAGCACATGGTTTACAAAATGTTATATTAAGCAATTCATTGGCGATGATTCCGCTACTAACAGTCTTGATCTCGAAATCTAAAAGAAATCAGTATTGTCGCGCTTTTGCGAGAAACAAAGCCACTGAGCTCGGGAGAACGTAAAACATTTATCATGCTTAATAAACTCTTTACACTCTTTATGCGTCGTGTTGATATGCCCGCGAGCCTTATCATGCTGTTGAAGTGTATATCTGTGATCATTGTAATCTTATAGTTGAAACTCGTTAAAGTTGTTACAAGAAGATTCAAGCTTTTCATTAGTTTTGCAATGTATATGCGAATAGAATAATTTATTATTTGGTCCTACAGATTCTTCATTGTTCACTGTATTCGTACACAATCTGTTGCTTAGAAGAGCTATCTGCATATTGTGTTTCCTTATGATGTTTTCATTTCTTATTTTACTTAAAGTTGCGACTATATTAAGACTTAATTGGGTATAACACTTTCGTTTTTTAATTGAATGATACTTCAATTGTTTCTATAATAATTATGTTTTTTGTTGAGCTATATTGTGACATTTAATTTCTGTATAATTCATTTATCGGAACTTTATGTATAATTTTGATGCTTTGCCACTTTGTGTATGATGGGTATGTTATTTTATTATTTCAAATCGCGTCTGCTTGTTGCCAGTTGGAAACCAAGAGGGGGCTATGGCCTGCTTAGGCATCTACGCCTTTTGTCTTTGGCCCAATCTGCTGTACCAAAGCGCAGGCTCAAATAATAATAAAAAAAAATAGGCAGAATGAAATCGGGCACAATTTTTATTGCATCAAGAAAGTTAGCCAAAACGTTCTACTGATTTATTCTCGGAGTTTATAATACTCCTGAAAAACCCTCTGCGAACAACTACAAATGTAGGCAAACACTTCTAATTGAAGCCTGGTTTGAGTCCGGCAATCTCAGGATGTTTAGTCGTTTATTTTTGTCATGATAAAACGTCATCACTTCGTTTCTTTGCAAGTGCTCTTACTTTGCATTTTTGAACAGCCTTTTCTTTTCTTCTGGAGTTCCGTAACATCCCCGTCCATGTTGTCTGCAAAAGTAAATATTATAATGCATAAAAAGTCCATAAGTTTTTACTGTCATTTGATATGAAACAATTTGAAAATAATGTTAAATTGAGGTATTCTTTCTGTAAACTAAAACTAAAACCGATTTCCTACTGATTTTCTTTTTATATGCCATTTTGTTCGTCATTTTAAAGACAGGGAAAGTGTTCCAGTCTTTCTTGCTACTTTTGCGTTTGAATTAAATGCGGCCAGAGATAATTATGTTTGCCTTCCCGTATGATCTATCTGAAAGCTTCAGTTGCTCTTGGGTTACATTTTATAGAACAAATCAAGTAGGGGACCAATGCAATGGAAAAGCTTGTTTTTATCTGTGATCAATTTGTTGATGTGTCCATACCGCTTACAAAATGCAGCGTCGTTCATCTATACTTGCTTTTAATTATGGTTATTGTAAAGCAGAGCTAAGGTTTAAATCTATAAAAGCTTTTGCGACTTTGACGAGTCTAACTTAAGTGGGGTATGGAGTTTACGGTTGTTTTTGTTTAAGCTAGTTTGAGCCCAACCAGATTAATTAAGGGCGCCTTGAGGCCGATGTTCACATACTTTACTCAGGTGTGTTTTGATTAAAATAAGAAGATACACACCAGCGCACTCTGTTTACCAGTGACCTAGATGAGGCCCCACGTTTTTAAGATTTGATCGACCTTGTTATAATTTTTGTACGCTTAGCCCAAACAAGATTCGTCTGAAAATTAGAGATGAACCCGAATCTACATGCCGACGATTCCGTCGAGCTTGCTGCAGAATTCAGCTAGGCGCATCCTACTTGATGTAAAGGGGTGCCGCAAACATTTTGTCCGAAATGAACTCGGTAATAAATATGTCTGTCTCATTTGAAGAACCCGGGTGTGCACCCTTTGGGAAGTACAAAGATAAACTGGGACAATTTTTTAAACTATAAAAGATACATGTGCCCGTTACTTAAAAAATAAAATCGATTGCAATCAATAAATTAACCTTACTAATTATTCTCATAAAAGTAATCGATTACTTCACTCGTTACGTCATAAGTTGCTGTCACTTTATATTGCGCGGCACTTCTCAAGTAGTGCATAAATGAAACGTCTTCCTTTACACTCATTTTGTTTCTATGCTACTTCCGATTTTTCTCAAGATATACATGAATATAAAAAAATAAATAAAAAAATATAAATTAAAAAATTTATTATTAACAATATTAAAAATAATTTTAAACGTTATTGCAACATAACTTTGAAGGATGAAGCTTGAGATGATAATCGCCCTGACTAGAAACCTTCTGACACCTCATGTGGGGTGGTGGAGGTATAGCAGTTCTTTGTATGATATGGACACAGAAGGCTGGCTGACACAGATGTCACCACAAGCCTTGATATTCTGCGCCTCGTAAAGTTCTCTTGATCGTTTTCCACGGTACGGTCCAAGGACTTCTGCATTTTTGAAGATCGGTGTGCAGTGGCAGTCACGGACGTGTATTGCCAGATGTCCTGCCGGTGACGAGTTGAGGGATGCTGCATGTTCTCGCAGTCCGGTATTCACAGACTTGCCAGATTGTCCCACATTAACTTTTCCGCAGGTGAATGGTATACCAGACTGCGAGAACACGCAAAATCTCTCAACTCCTCACCGGCAGGACATATCGTAATGCACGTCCGTGACAGCCACTGCACACCGATCTTCAAAAAGGCAGAAGTCCTTGGACCGTACCATGGCAAAATATCAAGAAAACTTTACGAGGCGCAGACAATCAAGGCTTGTGGTTACGTCTGTGTCAATCAGCCTTCTGTGTCCGTATCATACAAAGAACTACTATACCTCCACCACCCCACATGAGGTGTCAGAAGGTTTCTAGTTAGAGGGATGATCATCTCAAACTTCATCTTTCAAAGTTTTTTTGCAATAATGCTAAAAATTATGTTTAATATCTATAATAATAATTATTTTAATTTTTGTTATTTATTTATTTTTTGTATTAATTTACATCTACAATTGCAATGGTTCTCCTACTTCTTTCATTTATTTCTTTTATTTTCGTCGTTTTTGTCCCCCCTTCCGTATAATTTCTTCGCTTCTTTCGTCTCTTCTTTATTTTCCATTAAAACCCCAGTTTTGAGTATAGCGTGGTATAGCGCTGTCTTGTCTACTTCATGTCCGTGTCTGTCCTTTGCGCTTTATAATTCAATACGTGAACCCACATGACTACATAATTCTAAGCAAGATGTCTCACTTGCACCAGGTCGCTGCTGGCGTAAAAAAACACTTCAAACTGCAAACCTGTCAAAGTTACCCTCACGCACATACTGCATGTGCTTGCACACATGACACTACTATAGACGCCATGCTCGCAATTGTATAAGAGTTGTTTAACTTTATAAAAGTCGAACGACTACAGTTAGAGTATCTCATTGGCGCAAGTAATTAAATTATACGAGGATCTAATCTGCGACTTCTCGCCATATTTCGTCTGCTTTCTCTAAAATAAACAAATAACAGTAATATCGTTGCCTACCCAAAAATCCACGAAAGCACGACTTTATCGGGGAAATCGAAATCACTTTTCTGTGCCATATCGCCACGCGAAGTGACGAGCAAGCAGCACCCGGTCATGGTATTCTAAAAGGTTTGCGACTGTGCGGCAAAAGTGGGTGCGACAGCCGACGCAGCGAGTGCGACCGCAGTGTTTGGTTTCACACGCTGCAACAACCGCGCGATTTCTGTCGGCGCTGCCGGCTCTTCGGATATGAACGTGACGCGCTTGACTTTGCATAAAATACAACAAAAACGTCTTAATAAACAGAAACGTTTTACGAATAGTGTATGCAACCAGATTTTTTGAATAATTCAGCATTAAACCAAAAGCTTTTTGGTGTATAAATTTATTTTCGAATACGCGGCAATCGCGGATGAAAGCTGGCTAATGAACGGCTGGTTAAAGAGGAAGCGATCGCACCAACTCTGCGACAAAATACCAACTTGGTGGAAACCAGTCACAGAGCCGCTGCGACAGTGCGACTGCGATTTTAATCGGACATTTACTGGAAATCGCACCGATTTTGGACGAGAATCGCAGCATGTGAAACAACCTTTACTCGGGGCGTAACTTTTATCGTTTCGCCGTAGTTTCTTGTTCTCGAAAGTGCCTGATCATTCTCACACCGAACGCTCGATGCTCAAACCTTCTTAGCCGAATTTTCGACATGACGACGCACACACTCGACAAGGAGCGGCCCGCGACATTGTCGAGTCAGCCTCGCTCTCGCTTGCTGTTACGCCGCCAAATCACCGCCCAATTTTCTGCTGTCTCGACGCTCGCTCTTTATATTGTTTGGCACAAGTTCGCCGATTAAGCCTTTATTTTCAGTTCACTCTTCACCCTGTCGTCGCCTTCATTCTTGACAATATTCCACTTTTACTGATGATAATATTTATAGATTTTGTAATTTTTTACTTATATTTGTTGTTTAATTGAGTGAATGCTCTAGTTCAGTATTATTTTCGTATTCTTTTATAAAAGTTACGAGAGACATAAGGCAAGTTTTACTCAAACTTTGTAGTTAAATTACAGCAAAAGATGACAGCTGCCAAAAAATGACGCGGCAATTACGGAATTACGAAATAATAAATTGTGAGTGCTGCATTGATTGTAACAAATTCCCTTCAAAGTCTGCATGAATGGGAGTCTCATCTAGAGGTAGAACGTACACAGCCTATCCTTAGCTGCCCGTGATCCCCTCATTTGGTCCAGGCGAGTACAAGAGGGCACCTCAGTCTCACAACTGTTCAGCAAGTATGCATTATTGTTCCACACCAAGCGAAACGTAGTTCTAGAAATTATGTTGTATATCACTGAATAAACGTAATCGAAAGCAAACTTACCTCAGTCCCATCACGAACTGGTGTGGAGTGCAGCTAGATAAGCCAAAGCTTTTCCGATCGTTTCCCCATTTACCCATGAGAAATCCATCGTTAGGGTCACAGCCTTCTGCACCGTCACTTCCTCTCACGAATTCGGCTCCTGGAGGACCCTCGCCGTCATTCACAGCACCCATGCTTAAAAATAGGCATAAGTGTAAGCGTTTCCTGCAAAACTCCTAAAGTGCCACAGTAAACAAAAATCTTAAGACGCAGTTTAAATCATCCAAAGTAAGAGCTGCGTAACCCTCTCTACTTCATGGGCACGTCAAAGGAATTCAAACCAGTGACCAATGTAAAATAGATGAACTAGCGCCTGTAATGTTGGACGCACAGAATGGAATCACGAGCTGAATCGCCGATCCTAAGAAAGTCCTTGACTGGATGGCCTTAAAAATGCCCGGAAAGCATATGTATTACATAGTTAAATGTTCTAGATAACAGAAAGTATATAACTAAGAGAGGACGAAACAGAGACGAGTGCAGATAGGATACTATTTCTTACCTAGTATACTTTACCAACACGCTCGTTAGCAATATGTTTAAAAGTTCGCTTGTTACGCTTTCAACTGTAAAATTATAAGTCGATGGTTTCGGTATTTTTAATGACGTAAACATATATTCTTTAACGAAACAGGGTACCTAACCAAAACACGGTAGAGCCATAACACAAAGGAGAGTAATGATGAAGACACCTTTAAGAGTTTGCAGTCTTTAAGAACAGACCAAACATTTCCCTTTTGATCGCACTGCGCAGTAGTTAAACAAAACCATTCCTAATAAAAAAAAAATCATCACTGCTACAGGTCATCTTAAATCATGCAACCCTTTTCTAAGACTTAGGTATATGTTGCTCATTGAAGGGTCTAGAAGACATGGCGTTGTTGATTTGTGCCGATCTGCAGAGAAGCTTTTAATGAGTACAGTGGTCCCAAAACAGGTTGTGTTTCTGAATCAGTACTTATTATCCGGGGACGGGGGAAGATGGAGGAGCCGGGATGATGACACTTTCTAGCTAGAGATTCTATGATGTTCATTTGCCGTTTGAGCGTTTTATTGGGAATGGGTGGTAATAACGAAAAAAAAGCATGGTTAATCAAATGATTGGCGCTTGCATCGGTGGCCCCGAGAAACTGGATGAACTAAAATATTTGCATTGTGAAGAAAATACAATACCAGCCTTTTTACTATGCATAAAGTGTATGGTTTTGGCTAAATGCTCATATAAGCGGTATTTCATACGTAGGTAAAGAGTGAGAAGGTGACAAAAGTCCGAAAAAACCGAAAAAAGAAAGAAGCATTATAAATTGAAATTGGGCTAGTTGGTCTATAATATTCAAAAGGTTTAAAACTACGAAAAGCGAGCACAAAGACACGAACACAACAGGACTGGCGCTACGGCCTGTCGTGTAGTTTTCGTGTCTTCTTTGTCCTCACTTTTCTCGCACATTTAAACCCACAACCAAAAGCACCGTATTTTCCGGGCTATTAGTCCCCAAACCATGGGCACCCTGCGTCCGCTAGGAGCCGGTACCGATCCCCCAGCGAACAGCGCCGCGCGCGGCCACTTTTGAGTCGGCGTAGGGAGTGTGGTAGAGCTCCTCCGCGCTGACGCTGCTCCCGCGCTTCCGCCAATGTCGTAGCGTATGCAGGCGTGCCGACCTTGCAATATTAGCCATATTAGAAGATTTGGGGCCCTCGGCTAAGGTTGCTTTAGGGGCTCTCGTGATGATGATGATATTACTGGTTGACACAGTACTTTTTGAAAAGCCGAAGTTATTTTTAAAGTTATGCGTTTGTACCTTCTTGAGTAATGTTATCACTGAAAAGTGGGTAAAAATCTTTGTTCACTCCAAGTAAATTACTATGTATAGCCGTACGGAACGCGGCAACGTAATGACTGCCACGATTCGCTTTCCAGTAAGCGCTCAGGGATGGAAGTACCGACCCTTTTTCAGTGTAGCGCAATAATATATCTTTTGCAACTTAGCGTTTTACGAATGTCGTTTACTTGTTGCTTGTAAAAAAAATCTCCTCTGCCCTTTTTTTGTTTGAATTAATTTTTTATAATGTAACTGTTTTTTTCTGGAAGGCCGATGTCTGGAGGCTTGTAATAAGCAGGAGCATTTTAAACTCGTTGTTGTAGAGGGAACGTTCTCCACATTGCTCAAAGGTCCTCGCTTTGCTAAAAAGTTCATTGTGGAGGCAATGAACGCATTGAGAAGTAGAACCATGTGTGCAGCTTTCGGCTAAACATTGACTTGACTAATCGCCCATTGTTGTTCATAAAATGATTATAACAAAAAGAGTTCCATAAAGAATAGAAATAGAGATGGTTTAAGCCTTCCTCTTGGCTTCAATTAGGAAAAGTTTCACTGAAGCTGCCGCGGAGATGACAGCTCTGTCCCCTTCGCAAGGGAGCATCGAAGGCCGCGCTTCAAAAACATACGTTCGCACGAAATATAACAGTAAGCCCGAGCTCGAGTAGGACAGTGGATGAAGGCGTTTACGATGTTTCTCTTTTCTTTGCCTAAAGAGGGATGGAAAATGTCCAGAAGGCTGGAGGCTAATCGGCGCCTAATTTTGCTCAAAGCCATTTTGAGAAGAATGTAACTAGCGTGAGTGGCCCGACACATCAGACACACGCGCCAGATTAGAACCGCCATTGCTGACCTTCCCTTGTCTAACGGCGATATCGAGCCACTGAAACGGATGTTGATAAACCTCCAGAGAGGCCAATGCTGGGAAAGAGGACAGAATAAAATTTAAGATGACAAAAACTTGGCATGCTAGGTTGATGACCAAGTGAAGAAAATGGAATAAGAGGAAACAAAAACGGAAGGTCAGCTATGGCGGCGCCCGGGCACCGCTGCTACAAAGCGTCTACACACCAACCAAAGAAGCTCGCCGCGCAGAGCGTTGTTCGGTTTCGTTTGCAGTGACGTTATCTTTTTCAAGCCTCTCTTCCTTAAAAGTAATGGAAATAGTGTCCAAAATATTCAGTTAAAAAGCTCCTGACACGCAAAAAAAAATATCATGTTAGGCGTTAAAATGGTGCTGCAGGACATCACTAAAAAATAGTTTCACTAGACGGTTGCGTAGTTTTTTTTTATAAGAAATAGAAATACGAAACCCAATTCAAAGCGCCCACCATAGAGTTATTACAATAAACGCTAGAGGCTCAGCTGGCGCTAGTGGGCTGTTGCAAATTGAAGCCGACAGCATGCAGTCAGAAATTGACTTCTGGTAATGCATTTCTAAGGGAAAAATCGAGTTCATTTTCTCTCTGCGCTCGATTATAAGAGCAAATATCACGAATAATATGTACGTACTAGGCACATTGGAACATTTCTCAGACACGCAGACGAAATAATTGGTCAGTTACAGCATTTTTATTTGAAATTCGCGGCGTTAAAACCGCTTCGTACGTGTATTTATGTGCACTGTCGGACACTGTTAGCGCGAACACGGCGTCGACGCTTTCCAGCATGGGGGATATACGTGCCAAACGAACGAACGACATGTGGAAAACCAAGAGAGACGGCAAGAACTACGCAGTAATACTGGTTAAGTAACTCCTTGTGCTTGCAGACAATCAAAATAAGTTGAAAGTCACGTAATATTGTCCGATTTGCAATAAATAAGTAATGCTTTATTCTTTCTGCTCATGAATATGTGCGAAGATGCTTGTTCTGTGTTCAAATCATCGCCCGCACGCTCCAAATCTTTGCAACTAGGGGGAAGCCAAAGGACAGGGGCGCGATAAAAACTGCCCAAGATAGGAAATAATAAGAAAACACACTTTTCGTAGCCCACGTACTTTACACTTTACGTTTCGAACGTTTTTCTTTTTTTTTTTTTTAACCGCTCGTAGAGATGCACGACGGGGTCATTTTCATATAGTGAGAGGAGAGGCATATTAGCAATATATAAGCCCCAACGGAATGCTGGAGAACTTTGAACACACTCTACATTCCTTTCGATCGTTATTTTGCTTAGAATCGTCGCTCGTTTCTACCTACCTGCCATGGAACAGAGGTTTGGGCCTGAAATATAGCGAAGTTTAACATCGTTCAGTGGTAAAGGAAAAATGCTGTAACTAAAGCAATTACACTTTCACAATATTAATAAAAGTACATACTACCCGGTACAACCGAAATAACAAAAGTTATTACTTAATGTTATTTTCCGGCGACGAGACAAAATTCACGCGCGTTTTCCCATAGGAATACACAGGAAGACTGGAAAAGTAGACTGCATGCTGTCTGCTTCAATTTGCAACCGGAAGTCCCATAGACACTAGCGCCGGCTGAGCCTCTGGCGTTAATTGTAATAACTCTGTGGTGCCCACCAGTGCCCTGTGACGTAACAGTGTACCGCAACGTGTCGGGGCGGTCCGAAGGGAGGCATCGACCTACTTCACTAAACGTGGGTTCGCCAGAAGTCACCTGAGTATCACTCCTAGTGCTCTCCGGGACTGTGCCCAAGATTTTTTTGTTTTGTTATTCTGGTCTTCTCCACGAGCAATCGTATAAAACGAAGTTTCAGTTTCATTAGCTTTTTTATCGCTGCACCGTTCGTTAGTTTGCGTGCTGTAAAAGTTGAGGACAAAAAGTTATTGGATCGACGTGATGGAGTTCAACGATGAAAGCGTTGGGAGTACAAGCCAGTGTACGTTGCATGTCATCAGTCTGATGATACAGAGCCATACTTCGCACAAAAAAGAAGCTATCGTGTTTAAAAAAAAAAGAAAAGAATGTTCGCAGAAATTAGGACTGCTAGCATATAGCACGCCCGATCGCATTGCTGAACGTTCAGACACCGATGTCGTCGAATCATCGGATAATCTCCAGACTGAAGACGCCTGCCGTTTAGAGAATACGAACTGGTGAGCGTACCAAGTACAAGTAAACGTCGAGCATAAAGTACGTGTTTTTTCTAAAACCGTGAGCAGAACTTCTTTACTAGGTTCACTGACTCCTCTGCTTCTGTCGTTACAGCAACATTAGGCGATGAAAAGCAAATAAAAGAAACCTTGTTTGTTTGGATTGCTCGCGGAGGTGCGGAATATAACAAAAAAAAATATATTACACGCGGTCGCGGTAAGCAAGGAGTGATACAACTCACGCGACCTTTTG